TATATATATATATATGTATAGTATCAGCAAATAAATGCCCAGAATTGCCCCCTTAAGAGTATTTTACTAACATTTAATCAACATTTTTCATTTTGCTGCTGGTTGAAGTGGAGATAATTTTAACTACCTCATAAGCTGCTGTGTAGTTGACTCTATAAAAAGTATATTTTATTTTCTGATCACATGTTTTGTATGTAAAATATCAGAACCCGCAAAGTGACTTCAAACAGCTGTCAGGTTAATGAAAATGTAGTTAAATTGAAGTGCACAGTAAACAAAGTAAAAAAGTTAAAATGATGTACTCAAATAAAATACTAGTACCTCAGAACTGTACTTAAACATAGTACCTGCCTAAAGGTAACTGATTTCTTCCCATCACTGTCACTGACAACTCCTTGCAGACTAACTGGAATCATCCATAGCGATTTTTAAATTTCTACTTTTGGTATAAAAAAGCTGAAATATGATTTTCATCTACTCCGGTGCCAACATAATTAATCCTGACCAGTTTAAGATGACACTGATGCATGACTTATGTTTTATAGTGCACTTCCCATGAATATATTTCATGCAATGATATATTTACAGTATACACATACATATATAAACAAAGAGATAGACCTACTTTGAGTAAAAGCTGTTTACCACATCTAATAACTTAATTCAGCTCAGTTGAATATACTTTATTCATTCCTCAGTAGGTGATTCAAGGCACATTTTCAAACCGCACACAGTTATATTTCAACATATATCAGACAATAAGATGTGTATATATCAACAACCACTCAGATGGCTACATTCCTTTATAAAATGTAAGCCTTGAGTGCTGACATAATTCTGCTGTCAAGCCCAGAGAACTAAGCTTGCATTAATAATTCAGATACTGTTCAGCCTTTCTCAAAGTGGCACCTGTATTCTCAGTAGATGTGGGCAGTTTCAGTATTTGCACCATTTAGCTTGGATGTCTATTTAGTTGTGCTACACTTAAAAACCAGAAATGAGCTCTCACAAAAGTCTACAGTCTTCATGTTTGATTATTGCCACTGATCTTTAATCTGTGTAGAGCGATATCACAAATGTACCTTTAAATGCAGCTTTATCTACATATTTATGTTAGAACAATAGAAAGATCAATGAATATGTTAAATCATTGACACATTTGTGAATATGAACCCTTTATTATGAACACTGATTCTGAGAAGAGACTTTCCAGACTTTCCAGGCTGACCTTTCAGACAGTCTACAGAAAATGTCTGTGTGGGTTTCCTTCACTCTCCAAAGATGCTATAAGTGAAATGACTCCTCATGAGTATGAATGTTATGCTCACTATATTACAGTATATGTTGGCCCTGTGACAAACTGTCTAGTTTGTATCCTGTCTCTTGTAGGGGATAGACTCCAGCCCCCTTTGACCCTGAACAGGATAAGCAGTTTAGAAGATTAATGAATGGGTGGACTTTTATTAGCCTGTTAAAGTGAAGCAATTCCTGTAGTGAGGCAGCCTACATAGGACACAACAGCACCAAAGTCATAAAGTGTCATAAAATTAAAAAACTAATTATATTAGCATAGACTGTTGTAATAAGTAAACCCTCCTGATGTTGTTACAGTGAGGGAGAAACTTGGATTTATACTACTGGCCTGTTTGTGGAGGAGTAGGGTGGCATGTTAGGCTGATAGGAGAACAGGTCATAAGGTATATGTGTGAGACTCCCCAGATCTCACTCACATTACCTTGGAAAATGTTTGTGACAGTAAGATTTATCCTCAGGCCCAGCCATGGTCTTCATCAAGGCTTAAATACTCATCACAAGTAAACAGGAGTGCTCTCAGTCCATTTTTACAAGAGCTATTAAAGTGCTTTTAGAAGTATTTGTGAAATGCATTCAGACAAGATGAGGAACCTGGCACCACCGAGGCTAAACGGTTTAAGTGAAGCATATCATAGTGGTAGCATTTCAGCTGTTTGTGCTCAGTTTGTGGAGTAGGAGCATAAATAGAGGGTATGAAAATGCTTATGAACACAATGCCCTCCTTCTACACAGCACATTTGCTCCTCAGATTTCACTTATCCAGCTGTTCACGTTTGAAGAGGTTTGGTCGGATGTGAAATTTAAGGGAGAAAAATGATTGTTTACATGGTCATCTACCCATGTGTTCCCAGGCTGTAAGCCTCTAACTGTTAAGCTAGTTTGATCTCATCATGGGTACAGCTCTTTAAAACAGCAGTTTTGTGTTGTGTTAAAATCTTCTTGGTAGGAAATTCATGATGAGATTCAGACAATTTCTCCATGTCAAAAATGTCCAAATGCATTTTCTATATTTGACCCATCACAAAGACAAGGACAACAGCTGACAGGCCTGCGCTGTCACTCCCACTCCACTATTATTATGTGGTGGCTGTGCAGAAGTAGAACAAAAAGAGATGTCAGCTTTAATGCAAAGAAGAATAATGTAATATCAATGCATTCCCAGGGCCGGGGGCCATCCTGCTCTCCGTTTGCTGGTCAGGAATCCCTGCCTGGCATATTTTAAAGCAAATATCTGCTTTTATTATTGCTGCCTTTGGTGTAATGAAGCTGACAAGATAATATTGTCACACAGTCTAATAAGAAGACGCAGTCTACTGGTTTGTTGTAATTCATTGCCTTTGTTCTGTTCTTGCGCCTGCCTTTCTTCCTGCCTCCCTGTCTTTCCTGTTTTTCATGACTGTTTTGCTGGTCATGATGATATCTCTTTGAAAATGAGAAGGGGAGGATTCTGCTTTTTTAACATCTGTAGCCTCAGCAGCTACTACTGTATCTTTTTTTGTCTACCACCTTTTATTTCATATACAATCCCCTCCTGTAGCTCATTCCTACACACACACACACACACACACAGCAACTTTATCTCATCTTTGCAACCACAACAGTGTGATGAAGAAAAGCAGCACAGCCCCATCTCTGAAAAATCAGCAACTGTGAGATAATTCTGTAACTAATAAAGTGAAAGGGGGGCCCTTTGATGACTGAAGCTGAAAAGATATTTTATTTTTTGTGTGTGGGATTTGAGATGTGTGATTCGATGGAGCGAGCTTGCTCCCCTGCTGCTCGGCTCTGGCTGGAAGCTGGCCCCCCTCTGGCTAATGTTATGGAGAGTCGGAGGAATTTTATGGCTGTCTTTTTCCTCAGCCCCCTTTTTTCTTTTGTTCCCCTTTGAAGAATGACTTTAGACATTTTATTTACATATTTAACCATGGATGAAAGCAATGAAGGCAGAGGAGGCAAAACTCTTTGGGTTCCTAAGGGAATTCTTACCAGTAAAATTGACTTGGAGTTAATACTTTTTTGTTTGTGATGCCTGAAATCTGATGTGTATCAAACATGACACTATGATGGTGACATTCCTGAAATTGACGCCATCGGTGTTTTCATGAGAAACATGATCTGCTTACTCTGTATCTGTAAGAGAAGTCATAGCGTTTCTTTTAATTTCTGTGGTTAGATGACTTGCATGCTGTCCCAACATGTGAGGTATGCTATGGGAGAGATGGGGGACGTTGTAGACATGTTTGGCATTGTTGCCTGCGTTGAAAGGGCATGTTGATTAAACGTACGGGTGGGGTAGGGCTATAATCTTCTTAACCAGGACCCTCCTCTTCTCTTTCAAAGGCCACAATGAGAAGAAACAACACACTCAGTAGGAGGTGAGACTATTTGTCCACATGCCCTGCGCATTGTCCACGAATCCTGTTCTCCCTCCTGATTGCATGCATTCAGCATTTTGCTCAAGATGATCCTATTTACCGGCATAATCTCTTAGGTTCTCTCTTATTGCCACTTAATAATTTGTGAAGAGGTTGGTGCCAAAAACAACAACAACAACAACAAAAAAAAGAAAAGATTGGAAAGCATCAGAACATGTACAGTGAAGAACCTAGTAGTAAAACTAAAAAAAAAGGATAGTGTGAGAATAATAAAACAAAACTCTGTCCTATCCAAGTTCAAAAGATTCTTTTTTTGCAAATGCTGGCAAAGATAATTCTGTTTAACATGAATACTTGGTATTTTTCTGTCCCCTTTGAAATACTGGAGCTTTAATAGGAGCACCAGTTATAATAAAGGGTCAGACGTTTTGAGAAAACGCATATGAATCAAGCAATTAATTATTGAACAGCCCTGTCAACTTCAAAGCCTGCAGTATCCTTTGCTCATCTGGTTTAAATAGTTCAATAAAGTAACTTGTTATGGGGACTAATTTGTTTCACTTCTTTTAACTTACAATGGGTACGGAAAGTATTCAGACCCCCTTAAATTTTTCACTCTTTGTTTTATTGCAGCCATATGCTAAAATCATTTAAGTTCATTTTTTTCCTCATTAATGTACACACAGCACCCCATATTGACAGAAAAACACAGAATGTTTGACATTTTTGC